TTGTTTATTTATTAAAATATTTTTATTATTCATTTCTTTATCGGGTATATCGATTTGTACTATGGTTTCTGAGCGCGGTTTTAATGTAAAACAGATATCACTATCGTTTCCTGTTTTAATATTATTTATTGTTAACGTGTTATTAGCGACGTCTATTACTGCGTGGTTTTCAATTAAAAATTTATTACCAATAATCCCGTCTGCCAAAATCGGAAAAATATTATTTACAACATAAAATTGTGTTTCGAATGCTTCATTATTAATTATTAATTCTATTTCTGCTTTTCCTATTGTAGACACTATTTTTTCATTAATGCCTTTCAAATAAATTTTTTCGTTTTCGTTAATTTCAGTGTTTCCTTTTAATGCATTAATTTTAATTATATTTAGATCCGCCCCAGTGTCGACTAATAATTTAATTTGATCTTTATTAAAACTAGGTGATTTTAAAGTAATGTGATTGTCTATTAATTTTGCTGTGATGTGGAAAATCCTGTGTGTGGGTCTTGAATTATTTCTTGGACCAATCTGACTCCCACTGGTGATGGTCCGTTGGCGTTTCCCGCCGTGTTTCTTTCATTTCTCTGTTTTGTATAGCAGTTTGAAATTTCATGACCTATCTTATTACAGTAACTACAATGGACACCCTGAGTATTGTTATTGTCCCTACGAACATTATTGTTGTTGTTCGTATTACGCGTGCCGCCCACACGATTATTGTTGTTCGTATTTTGTGGTGCATTTGGTCGATTGCTCCAACAATCCCGCGCCAAGTGATTAGACTTGCCGCACGTGTAGCACCCTGCGTTATTTCGATTATTATTATTTTGTTGTACATTATTGACATTGAAATTTCGTCCATAGCTGTTTCCGCCTTGATAACCGCCGCGATTAACCGTGCGTGAATCATATCCGCCCCGATTATTATTTCCATAATTACCGCGGTTGTTGTGGTTAACATATCTGTTGTTATATCCGTTGAAATTATTATTTCTGTGATTTTGATTTGAATTACCGTTTCCTCCACGATTAACTGCGTTGTTACCATCGTTTTGTCGTTTTTCCTCGTTATTGACGCCTGCCTGTTTTCCATTACCAATCTGTCTCTGTAATTTGTCCATTTCTACTTTTGATTCATATTCAAGCATCTCATCGATCGCCGTTTTGAAACATTGTTCCAATGTAGTGGGATTTCGACTTTTTAGTACTGTATATAGGTGATGAGGTAGCCCCGTCATAAATATGATCATTGCCTGTTTCTTTGTTTGTTTTTTCACTATATCTGCCTCGGCCTGAGTTAAACCTACCGTACTTGCCGCGCAGAGTTTATAATATAACTCTTCGATTCTACTAGCGAATTTTGCTACACTTTCTCCCTCGGCCATACGTGCCGTGTTTAAAGCTATTGATAGGGCCCTCTCCGATACTTTTTGTTCGAATGCCCCCTCTAATATTGTTTTTATTGCTCCCCATGTTTCTAAATTTCGATATTTTGTTACTTCTAACGCATTTCCTGTTAACTTAGAAGTAATTATTTTCAATAATATCGGTATTTCTGCATCCGTTGTCTCCTTAATTGCGATTTCACAAATATTTATAAATTCGGCTACGTCCTTTTTGCCCGTGCAAATAGGTATCATAGCAATTGCTTTATCTAAATCCATTTTACTCATTTTTTTCTTAACTACTGATTCTAACTGCACGTGAACTACGCTTGAATCTGACCTAGTACCTAAACGTCCTACGGTTTGTTTTCGTGGCGTGGTACCTATTTGTTCTGTTAAACTATGTGTTCTTACTAATTTTTCCTTAACAATTTTTTCAGCTTTAATTACTTGTTTCCTAGTTCGTTCTAAAAATTCTTTCTTTACAGCGTCTTTTAAAATTTCCGCTTTTATTTCTTTCCTAGTCTTATATTTTTTAACTTTTATTGAACTGTCCGTAGAACTAGTGTCAATATCTGAACTATCGGATTCTGACATATATTTATCTAGACATTACATATATATAATTTTCAATAAATTATATTTACTAAATTATTAATTCCCTATCCGCGTAAGTAATTACCAACAGTGTTTACTCTACATATATATACTATTATTAATTATAAATTATTAATACGTAACTACCGTCACCAAAATTAATAATACCTAAAAATTACTACTTATAAAATAACTATCATGCACAAATAATAAAAAGAAATTACGTAAACGCGCGTCGTACGTTGAAATGGATGAGTACCTATCTAATAACACGTAAAACGTTCGACCGCCTATGCTACGCGTGTTAAATTTCGATACGGTGTTCCTCACCCGTTTCCCTCGCCCTGCTCCGCGATGTTTTTTACGTACGCGCTCGTACTACGCTCGAATATTATAAAATAAAACAACTCCCGGTTAGCTACTCCGTATATCCCTTTAATAATATTCGACTTCCTATCCCCTTATTTTTCTTATTACTAATATATTTTTCTATATGATTTAATTTCCTATTTTACGCGCTTTATCAATTTAATTTAACCAGAAAAAATAACTTTTTAATTATTATTCTATTAACTTACTCTTAGTAATATTATACTAAATCTTATCCTAGGCTAGCCTTATAATTAATTCTTTTTCCCCAAAACTTTTCAAAATTTGACGTCAATTACTTTAATAAGGTCATCTACTGCCTTTCAATTCAAATCTATTTTCTTCAATATATATCATTTAATTTCTTTCAACAATTATCTATCATTCTATATTTCAATTCAAAAATTCAATATTTTCCTTTAATCAATTATTCCCATATATAATTAAAAATGCTACGCGCGTGCATCAATTCCTTAGATCAGCCTATCGCCGTCTACTTTTAATTTATTAGATCAGTCTCCGCTGTCTATCACAAAATATCATAAATTACTTAGGTCAGTCCCTGCTGCCTATCACAAAAAAAATACCATAAAATTCTTAGATCAGTCCTTGCTGTCTATTATAAAATACCATAAAATACTTAGGTCAGTCCCTGCTGCCTATCACAAAAAAAATCTCAGATCGGTCCTTGCCGTCTATTTACCATAAAAATCCTAGATCAGTCTACAGCTGTCTATCAAAAATACGTATATAGTTCTTCCCAAGCTTGTTTCCTATTTTTTTTTCTTTATTTATTTTTATTCGAATATTTTTCCCTAATATTTTACACCACCACCAAGTATAAAATAAACGCTGATTTATATGAATCAACGTGAGACGTGCACTTCAAGCTATACAATTCTAATTTAATTATCTATTTTCACTTAATTAATATACTCACAATAACGCTGTTGCCACTGCTGTGTTCATCTTTCCCTGATTGTCTGCTGGCCCGTCTAGAATTTGTCCGTTGAATCCGGAGTCGCCTTGGTTGATCAGACCTCGACTGTACCTCCGTGGAGCTGCTGACGTGGTGTAGCCGCTGCGTCGGGACTGGATCTCCGAAGTTGAATGTAGCCGCCTTGACTGCTGGACTCGCCTTTGAAGTTGAATCCGCTGCCTTGACTGCTCGACTCGCCTTTGGAAATTTAACTCCGCCGCTTTGACTGCTCGCCTCGTCTCTAGCTTCCTGAACCTCCTGTACTCGACTGCGCCAGTGTAATAAGCCTGGATGCTTGGTACCTACTATCGTAGTACTGACAGTAGATAAGTGGCAACCAAGTTATTATTAGATCAGGTCGCAGACACTTTATTTGATGTCGTAGTCGTGGTAGACAATGAATGATAGGACAGATGCAATGTAAAGTGAATTTTTATTATAATGTTCGATAATTTTTCTAAGTCCAAATAATATTCAACAGAGTGTCGTGAAGGTGCTTGCACTAATGGGTGGTAGTACACGTCTGAATACAGGCCGATTCGGGCTCCCTTATATATGAGGTTCCCCGTACCCCTTGCCTACATATGCGATATCTCCGTTCTCACGGATGTCACTCGTATAGTCATCATTCTAGCCCACGCATTGACGATTGAATATTTATCCGATTGAATGTATTACTAACTTGTGTTTAGTCATTTTACTCTTTAATATTTTAAATTCATCGTATGCGTCCAGTATTTCTGTCAAAAATGACGAATGACTATTTCAGCCCTCTCGTCATGAGTTATTCAGTGAGCCTGATCTCCATAGGTGTGAAGGACCCATTTCCTTCTTAATACCCGACTATGCCGGTCTACCGTTTATTATAATATTTATGCACCTGTGGAATCTGATTTTATTGTTACTGTCAAATGTTACTACGCCTAATTCTGAATCCCAATTCATCGTATATTATAATAATAACTATGTACTTATGAAATTGGTATTACTCCGTAGTAGCTGGCTTACTACAATAACAATAATATTGGTTATGGATAAAGCAATGTAATATTTTTTTTTCTCAGTGGAATGTTTACCTTGGAGCGGTTTGGAATCATTTTTTGTATTCAAAGGAATGAAAGGAAATAATATAATTGCAAAATGTGTTTTGTGTGGCCCATCAGGAAAAGAAATAGGTACAGCCAAAAATACACCGTCCAATCTCAAGCGTCATATGATGGTAAATAAGTAAATAACTATTAACTAATAAGTATTTGCTACTCACATTACTTAATTACAATACTTGATTTTTTGTATGAGATATTGCAATAATAATATAATATGTTTATTAATTATTACTGTACCTTATACAACCTTATACACAGTGGCGTCACGAACATTTTATTCTTTGGGGCAAATACTGAGGCTATCCACCCACCCACCCACACATAAAACTAAAACCTGCTGATGCATATATTTTTTTAATTATAAAATAAATATTGATATTATTTTACTATATCAATGAACATTAATGTAATAAGTTACCTATTATTGAACCTATGTTCTTTTAACAAATTTTAGCAAGTTAGCAGTTTAGTAAACTATTTTATTAAGTATATTAAAAAATAACAATAGTTAAAAAAAATATATATATATAATAATAAAACATTAATCATTCAAAATATTATGACTTATGAGTATAATAAAGTTTTTTTCATAAATGTAGATGATATGGCTAGTTCATTGATGGCTTGATTTAAGTCTACATTTATATCAGTTTCACAGTTTAATAAGATGAGACTTTCTAGCCTTAATTGAGACATTGTGGATCTTAACCGAGACTAAATAATTTTAACTTTTGAAAATGTGCGTTCAGCTGCAGCAGATGTTACAGGAATGGTATATAATGCTTTATAAGCCAAATATAAATTTGGAAAGGCTGAAGTAAGATTAAATTTTGATAATAGTTGTAATATAGATGCCGTATTTTCTTTATTGCTTTTACAAGTAGTATGTTCTTGTTCATCATCATTTTCATTAGTGGACCAATCATCATCAGACTCTTGGGCATCATGTAACGTATCTCCAAGATTTAAACCAGCTGTTAATGAAGAATAAGCATTACAGAATGCTGAATATTCAGTTCGAAGAGATTCTATATTTAATTCTGGAATCCAACTTTGTAGAGCATCAAAACTATCATAAGGAAAATCCTGTATTGAACTAAAAGACTTAATTCTTTCCACAGATAAAAGACTCAAATCCTTTAATACTTCTCGTGCTTGAGAGTATCTAGAACTCAAAACAGTACTGACTGTGTCCAACACAAAAAAGTAAACTTGAAATTTAAATAATAAAGATGGTGTGTTGGCAATTTCATTAATTTCATCATGCAAATTCTCTCCATCCATTCTTTTTTTTCTCCTAATTCTGACAACTTGAAAATCTTGTTCCTCGAGCTTTTCATGTATTACAAACTGTTTTACTTCGTCAATTAATTCATTATATTTACAATCATTTCGTAATTCCTCGAGTCGTTTTTGAGCTGAATCGACTAAATTCATTGCTTCAATGAAATCTAATTTAGTTGACTGCATATATACTGAAACTGGAGTTGTAATTTTAAATATCTTTTTCATGAATATCATCATTAAAATAAATTTGTAGGAAGTTACATTTTTAAGCTGACTTATAGCCTGCGATGAAGTAGTACGATCATTTGATAATGTTAACTCCTCCAAACTTTCAACAATAGCAGTATATTTTTCATAAATGACGTCTATAGCTCTATCATGTGACGTCCAACGTGTAGAAGATAGATATTTCAATCTTCGGCATACTTGACCAGGATACTGCAGTTTCTGGTGATTAATAAAACAAGCCGTGCGTTTTCTTGCTCCAAAATACTCAACTAATGCTTGAATTTCTCCAAAAAAATTACGAGTATCCAAACATGAATCACACATATCTACTATAACCAAGTTTATAACATGAGCACAACACCAAATATATTTAGCACGGGGACATTGTTGTTGTACAAGTGTTCTTAATCCAGAATATTGCCCCTGCATCGCTGCAGCTCCATCATATGCTTGGGCATATAAATTATTTTTCCAATCCAATCCATGTTTTTCGCAAATCTTAGAAAATAGTTGAAACATCCCATGGCCTGTTGCATCCGTTGCTATTTTTAGTGCGATAAGTCTTTCTTCTACAATTCCTTCATCATTTACAAATCTTACGACAAACGTGAATTGTTCCATTTTGGAAATATCAGTTGTTGTATCTATAATAACTGCGAACATTCTAGCATCGTTGACTTTTTTTAAAATTACTGATCTTATAGAATCACTCATTATTTGAAGCATAACATTTTGTGTCTGACCAGAAAGAAATGTTATTCTATTTTTTTTTGATGAATTTTCAATTTTATTTAAATGAATAGCTAAAGGAGCATGATATTTTGACAAAACTTTAATTAGAGACAAGAAGTTACCACGATTTTTTGATGTCAAGCTTTCATCATGCCCACGAAATGCTATGTTTTGTCTTCCAAGATACAATAGAATTTCAAATATAACTCTAACTATTTCTCTATTTTCCGCGATTTGGTTATTTGTTGTTAGTCTGAATCTGACATCTAAACGATTATTAGAGGAATACTGACCTCGACTGATTTCTGACTCTAAATGTTCTTTTGCCATCTCATGGTTTAACATTCTTAAAGTAATATGTTTCCAATCTTGAGTGCCAGTTGAAACAAATTTATTTTTTTTAGTCTTTACTAAACCAAAAAGCAAGCAAGAAAAACAGTACATTTTGTCCTTAGATGGTGAATATGCTAGCCATTGACGTTTAATATTTTTTCCATCAGGAAGTTTTTTAAAGTAGTACTCTTCGCGGAATGAACGGCCATTTGTTATTGGAAATTTATTAGCGGGCATATCCAATACTCCTGGTTGACATGGTCCCAGTTCAAAAAAATATTGCAACAAATTACTAGATATATTTGTCTCTAAAATAATTGCTGGATCGTTAGGAAATTTATAGTTAGAAGAGGGAATTGGAAGTTCATTATTTTGACTAACAGTAGAACAATCTTGCAAATAATCATCATCAAGTACACCAACTATAGGGAAAAAAGATTTATATAAATTTTCAAATGATTTAAGTAGTTATCAAAATTTATAGTAAACATTTTACAATTTGTAACAGTTTAAATTTATATTAAGTATCTATAATAGGTATAATTTGTTGACTAATTAATTGATTACATTTAATCAATAACAATTTTTTAGATTGCATCAATTATCAAAGCTTAATATATTAAATTTAATAGAAAAAAAATTAAATAAACAAGAAGTAATGAACGGCAAGAATGTTAATTAAATTATTTTTAACTTACATGGAGTTGGACTAGATGGTATATCTTCATTTAAAATATTTTGATCATCTATGTCCATACAATTATGTTTTAATGTTACAGCTGTACTGTCACCAAGCATATCAGTTGTAATACCTAATAACAAAATTTAAAAAATTTAAATTGTTTTTTTATTTAAAATAAAATAGTTAACACTTAATTCTTTTTAGAGACAATGTTGAATAATGCAGTATCTGTTTAAATAATATCTTACTTACATGAGGTTGAACTAGATGGTATATTATCTTCATTTAAAACACTTTGACCCTTGGTGTCCATACAATTATGTTTTAATGTTACAGCGGTACTGTCACCAAGCATATCAGTTGTAATACCTAATTAAAAAATATAAATATTCTTTGAGTTGTTTTTTTTATTTATAGTGAAATAGGTAGGTAGTATTTTATAATTTAAAAGAAGACACATGCAAATGAAATTTCAACAATAATCAGACATTTTCATAATTTATTTGTTTATTTATTATAAATTATTGGTTTTGGAATCCTCATAAAATGAATTAATCTAAAATTATTTTACTTACCTTCTTTTGGTAAATCGTTAAGTTGATCTATTGTGCGTTTTTTTATAAAAAAATTTGAAACGTCACTTATTGTTTTTGTGTTTTTTAACTTTACTAGATCACATGCAAGTATATGTCTTTTCCAATTTGTATCGTTTAATTTCATTCGTTTTTTTCCACATAAACAAACATAATTATTTGCGTTTGACATTTTACAAATACAAAACTTAACAATCAAATTTAAAAGGTTACAAACTAAGTGCAATAGGTAAAACAACACGGACACACGGTTAAGTCGGTGATGAAGTTATAATATTTATAGGGTTTATCACGTGCGCGAATGCGTGATTCGCGGCTGTCAGCTAGTGAAAGAATTGTGAATACAGGCGGTGGCCAATGTCTTATTTTGATAGTGGTCAATAATTGATTCGTGTAAATAACATATTTTCCATTTATTTATAAAAATAGAATTGAAAATAATTGTATCGTTCTGCATGTCGCATGTAGGTATATGTTTTTATACATTATACATAATATTATGGCAGTATATAAATGTACAGTGTTTCCCGCACTCTGGAGATAAGAAATATACAATTACCAAACTATTTATGAACATTTCTTAATTTCCAGTAATAAATACTATACGCCATACGCCGCCATGTTATGCGATACGCATTACATACAACAATATAGCATAGTACGTTTTGTTAGTCGTTACCCACGTACTAATATATTGACAGCTGACTAGTGACTCATATAATAAAATATTTATATATAGTTAAATATAAAAATAATTTTATGACCTAACGAATTTACCCACCCACCCACCTAAAATTGTTTGGGGCAGTTGCCCCAAAAAAATAAGGTCGTGACGCCACTGCTTATACAAGAAGGAAAATTATAATAAATAGATCATGTTATTCAACTTGAATAAGCGCATACAAAAATGTATGTAGGTACCTGGTACATTCAACTATTATGTTATGTTGAAATGTTGAATGAGTACCATAATCTTGTTATATTGAGTTTTTAAAAAATGCAGTGATGTAAAGATGTAAATGTTCTAATTATCTAAATAAATAATAATGGGCCATTAGTATTAAAATGGTAAATACTTAATACATTTAAAATTAAATTATAAAAGTGTTGTTAAATCATGTCCCTATGTATTAGTTAATACCATAATTATATGTTTAGAATACAAATAACTCATAGATAGTAATAATAAGTATTAATACAACTTAAATTTAATTTAAAAAAACAAATTATCAAAATATATTATAAAATATAGAAGGTAAAGACATAATTTTGAAGTACCTGTAATAGTACAATAGTACAAATAACAATTTATTTTTCTAGTTATCTATTATAAAAGTTTTCTATAAATTATTAATTTTATTAATAAAAATACATTTCATTTAAACTATTTAGTAGTAAAATCTCTAAAATATTAAAAAAAAAATGCTGAGATAATATTATTTTTAAATACCTATTCATTTAAAAATAAAAATATACAAAATTGAAAATATATTATACATATTATATAGATTATATAAATGAATAGTGATAGGTATTATCATTATGTTATGCTTCATAACTTTTAACTATAATATTCATTAATTAAATTTTAACTACTTTATTACTACATAATATTAAGTACATTAGTAATTATTAAAAAAAAATGCATGAAAAAGTTAAATTAAAATAATAATGAAATAATAAGATAGGTATTCCACAAATCTATAAAATATATCTAATGTGTATTTAAAATTAAAATATATTTTGTTGTTAATTTTTTAGAGAGTTCATCCATTCAAAATGGTTTCCTTTGAAAATGCTATTAATGAAGGTAAAAAAAAATGCATTTATTAAAAAGAAAAAATTGGAATTTGGATCATCAGAATATGTAAAAAAAAGAATCTGTGCAGTCTACACTTGACAACTACGGAACTGATAAAGGAAATAACTATTCTAAAGTAAATCAAAAACATTTAGATGAACTTGTGATAAAATTTGTTATTAGTGAAACACAACCTTTAGCTATAGTCGATAAACCATCATTTGTGAGTTTGGTGCAATTAGGCCTTCCCAAAGGCCTTAAGGTTATGTGCCGAAAAACCTTAAAATTACTTATTAATAATATGTATTTATCTATGATTGAAAATATTATTTCAACGCTTGGAAACGTTATGTATGTTGCAACCACAGCTGACTGTTGGAGTAAAGGTAAACGAGGTTATCTTGGAGTTACTTGTCATTGGATAGATTCCAATTCTCTTCAACGCCATTCAGTATCTTTGGCTTGTAGCCGTATAAAGGGAAGACATACGTATGATGTTGCGGCTTCTGCTTTGTACAAGATTCATGCAACCTATAAAATACAAAACAAGATAGTTGCTACAACAACAGACAGTGGTTCAAATTTTGTGAAAGCTTTCAAATCGTATCAGACTTTAAGAAATTCAGATGAAGATGAAAATGAAAATGTAGATGATGAAATCATAAATTTATTTTGGATAACATTACTCATGAACAAGAAGAAGCTAACTCATTTATTCAGTTACCTCCACATTTAAGATGTGCTAGTCATACACTTGACTTGATAGCAAAAAATGATGTTGACAAAATGGTACAGAATTCAGACACTACTTTTAAAAAATGTTATAGGAAAGCACTGGGCAAGTGTTCTTCGTTATGGACTAAACAAAATATATCAAATTTAGTCGCAGAAAAACAGTCCCCTCTGCTCTATACCGAATCTTTTTGCATCATGGCTTTGTGCCAAATCTTTTTGCACGCGTATATTCGTACATATTATCGGCACACAGCCCCAAAGGGGCGGCCGCAGTACAATGCGGCAAAAAGATTTGGCATAAAGCCATGATGCAAAAAGATTCGGTATAGAGCAAAGATGACCCGCGTATGTCGTCGTCGTCGTCGAAATTATAGAATAATTTGAGCAAGCACCCAGTTCGTTTTTTCGCGCGATGACGTCATAATTTGGAGGCTTCGTTAAATATATATATTTTATCATTAAATCAAAAAAATGGCATATAGACATGACAAGATGAATGTTTTATATTTTTGTACTTTTGCATGTATTGCCAAATTGGCAAAATTTTTGCATACGATACAATGTGTATAAATGCATATAAAAGAACGTAGAGTACAATGAACGGTCAGTCTACTCTCGACATACCACACAGACCTACCCTGGCTGACTGTGAGTATGTTAGCGAATTTCTATTATAATTATTATACTATATTATAATATAAAGAAAGAGAAGTATTAGTATTAGTATAGTCTGACTATATTTTGTTCTTGTAATAGGTAGTTAAAGTGTGTTTTCTCTAATAATCTTAAAGGAGTTACTAACGTTCAACATTTTACGTATACAATAATCCATTTCACTGTTATTTTACATATATTAATTTTTTTGATTTCGTAGGTTGCGAAAATTGTGGATACATCAACAGTATCAAAAACATCAACAGTAGCAAAAAAAAGCAGCAGCAAAAAACAAAAATAAAAAAAAAATGTACATTGAAAATAAAATAAAAATAATAAACAACTAAAATTAAATTAAAAAACATAAATTATATGGATGTTTTTGTTTTCCGCTTGCCATTAAAAATATTCAATTGTTGGTTTTTGACTTGAGATTTAAATTCAACTTTGTGAATATTGTTATGGTTTAGTATTATTAAACATAGGAAGTAAGTAAGGATGTAGCAGTATTTGTAAAACATTTAGAATTATGAAATAAATTGATTATTGTAAATTAGTGTAAACAGGCACAATCCCGAAAACTGCAAGTAAGCACTTTTATATAGGAAGGATTGTCCTAGATAAGTTTAGATATAAGGAACGTGAAGATGTTAAGACGGCAGTGGAGAATGGAGAGTGCCATTGTCTGCATATGTTCAGAACGCAATAAACTTTATTAATTGAATAGTAAACGTGTGTGTTACTTTATTTACTAAATCTACCTACAAACTCTACAAGTACGAGGCTATGGTCAACCGACTTGTAACACTGGTGGCAGCGGATCAAAAGAACCATTAATTCAAACAAGACGCGTCTATTCAATCAAGGTGAGTTAAATTGTTATTGAACCAGTCAAGGTGCATAATTCCAGTCAACTACGGATCATTCCACTCAACTACGGAGCATTTCATTCAACTACAAGGCATTTCCAGTCAACTACGGATCATTCCACTCGACTACAGAGCATTTCATTCAACCACAAAGCATTTTCATTCGACTACAAGGCATTCCAGTCAACTACGAAGCATTCCAGTCAATTACAGAGCATTTTTAACAAATTCAGCATTCAACTTTTTCAAAGGCAACGTAGGAACAACTTCGATAATGTTAAATTTATTGGTATTGTAAGTTGGTTTTATATATATATATTTTAAGCATATCTATAAGTTCTATCCATATTTTTCTATTTATATTTAATTGATGAGTGACGAAAGTTGTAGTATTAATACAACACAGAACGATAGTAAAGACGAAACATTTATTCCAGATAGGTCATTTGATTCAGATGATAGTAGGGCAAGTCAAACAACATCTGGTAGGGTCAGTGTTAGCAACCAAGTAGAAAATACAGTACAAAATCAGAGTACTTTGTTAGGACTTCAAAATCCTGATACTGGTAGGAATACATTACATTTGCCAATACAACGTAGACGGTTAGGAGTACCAGCAGAATTAAGTTCAAACATTCTTAAAGAAGATATTTCTTTTGATAGGAGTACTGAATCATACAGTTTTGTACCAAATTTGTGTCAATCAAGTACTGAGTTAGTAAATATGAGTGTAATTACTTCTTTAGAGGCAGCATTTCGAATATTACCAAAGTTTGACAAACAAGACTCTGAGGGCTTACATAATTTCATAAAGTCATCAGAATTTGCTTTTTCATGTATTAGCGAAGAAATAAAACCCATAATATTAGGAGCAATAGTAGCGAATTTAACAGCAAAAGCAGCTCAGGTTGTCCGATTTAAAAAAATAGATTCATGGGAAGAATTGAAAACACAGTTAAAAAATTGTTTTGAACCACAACATACTTCCACACATTTGATGTTAGAATTGACCACAACTCGTCAGAAATATGATGAAGAAATTAGTACATTTTATAGTCGGTTAGAAAAACTATTTCATTTAACGTTAAATGTTCAAACCAAAGATAAAAGTGT